ATCCAAATGAATGCTACAAAGCGACTCCACAAATTTCGCAATAGATATCACTTTTCAAGAGACGCAAAGCGGATTTAGGAGAAAACATACGACTCACACGCCTCCCCATCAGTAGTATCACCGTTACAGTATTACCACCTTAAAAGCGGTTAATAATACCCAGAGTCGCTCATGTATATAAATAAATATCAGCACGCAGCTCAGACCTTTAAACTACAGCAGTTCAACGAAGCTGGGGCCCATTTGCTCACCGTCCCGAAAAAACCATCCCGTCTCAATGGGTTACACATGTTTCAGTCTTTTCTCATATTAAACGTGTGTTCGCATCTGATCTATTTTTAACCCATTACAACCCTCAATTTCCGATCATCGTGGTGGCTGATCCCTCGAAACTTGGCTCTACCACAACAGTCACTAGGCTCAAGGAAAGCCATTTGCCATGTGTCTCATTCACCCTCTCTAACGGAGAAAATTACAGGCGACTGGCTCTGATTTCCTCTGTGAAGAAATTCGCAGATATTGTATGCTAGAAAAAATCATCACCGTCAAGAGCATGACATCATTGTTCAACACCGATGTTTTACTGCTGTCCGATATTGTGGTCTTCATTCCTAAAATGAGGCACTGTTGGATACTCATAGATCTCCAGAAGCCAACCCACACCAGTATAGAAGAGGAAGACGCATAATCGCAACGATTTTAGCTGACGGCGAAATCCAGCAAGTTCTTTCGAATCAGTCCAGAATCTTTTTATCTCTATTCAAGCAATCGATTAAGCCCTTACACATGACCCTATGCTGCAGGTTTTCGGATCACTTCGAAAGATCTTTTCCATAGCTACCGACATTGTGCAGTGGTGAAGTTTCGATTATTTTCTTCACCGCAGCTTAACAAGTCGAAGGGAGCATTACATGTGAATTTTACTGGTCTCCTGAGTGGTTGCATGTCCCAGGTTTTTGTCAGTTTTTTCTCCAAGTGGTCCAGCTCTGACCACAGAAACAGCTTTCTTTCCCAATCCGGGGGATCCTTTGTTAATATCGTTAGATGGATGTGGATATGAAGCAGACAAGCGCGGCAAATACCGAACAAGATATGCAAACTTTTGTCCGGTCATATACGGAGACACTTGATAGCTCAGTACCAAGTTATCAGTCGTTGGGCGAGGTGTTCCTCGAAAAACGCATGCGTCTGACCCTGGAATTAATGTTTTCCACAAAATGTAATCTGAAGACAAAGCACTCCAAGTGTAGAGAACTTCACTCTCAGTGCCATTGATTTCATGAGAGGTCAACTAAACTGGATATATGGGGTAGTTGTACAACGCACCTGATATGTATTATATAAAGTTAAGATCGTTCGATCAGTTATAATACTCTCAGGTGAAGCTGAACTGACACATCAGTCGAGCGGTGTTGTTTTAAACCACTGTGCGGACGGGAAGCAAGTCAGGGAGCTCCCTTAGACATTCCGATGGCTTGCAAACTACTTAGGTGAGTTCGTACTAGGTTTCTGCAATCCAGACGACATTGGCGAACTGCATACCAACAAGATTGGGTTCGGTCCTGTTTTGTTCCGCGATGCATAGGTTACCTTAATGAGGTGTTTACGTAAAGATCAGCTATGTCGAATAAACCTGAACGGCGCTCACACTAACTCTTGAGGTAGTCCGCGCATTGTCTGGGAAAAACAGTGACCCAGAGCTTATTCCAAATGTATTCCTGCTGTCGATTTCTAATCAGAGTCAATTAAAAACACAGACAACCAGTAACAATGAGAAGAAGGCTACCACAGCAAAGTGGACTCTAGCCTTTCATCAAAGAGCAGCTCTCTTTGGGGATATTGCATAGGATCTAGAGTCAGTGAACCGGGTCAGTAAATAAGCAACTAAATTCCGAAATCTTGTAAAGTGAATTTTTCAGCATAATATTCAGCTACTTAACAGAGGTTTTCTCCCATTATGACTGCAGTATTGCATTTTTTTACCGTCATTTGGTCATTTTCCAGGGCAACTTAACCAAAATCTTCACTTAACTTCAGGTAAAATGTGCCCTACGGTGTTATCGCGTAGCGGGAGAAATCCAATGAATGTTGCAAAATTATCCTCAAAGCTACCTTAAATCGTAGTTGTTGTTCACGTTTCAGAGTATCTTATGGTACGAAAATTCAAAGGCCATTTCAAAAGCAGCATTTTGTCTACTGTTTTTCCCGCGACAACATCCCCAGTGAATGATATACTTCTGCGAGCAATATCCCCACACATGAAAGAAACCGTGGGTTGAATAATTGATCAGGTATATCCCAGCTCTAACAGCACTCAGCCATCTTTAATTTGTAAGTGAGAGTTCAACAACGAGGCAATTAAACGGTGACTGTTCCTACTGACAGGAAAGCTATGCGTTACAATGTGGGGAAAAGCTCGACACTCGTCGAGGAGTAATTCTTTTGGCTCTGAATGTGAGATCGGTCTACGAAACTTAGGAAGTCATTGATGTACTGCCATGAGTCGGACCCCTAGGGCTATTTTCGGAGGGCTCCTGCTTCTTTGGTTGTTTCTTTGGGAGGTTACTGATTAGTCTGGGAGGTCTTCGTACTCTGAGGGGCTCTTTTTGGGGATTACCTCAGCGGGTCCTGGTGAAAAATAAAATCTCCAAACTACTCACAAGTAGGCACACGTTTCGCGGCTTTGCTCTTCGACACCCGTTCCACCCATTAGCACATCGGTTGCAGAACGGAAGATCCATTGACATCTGGAGATATTTATGTAAAAACACAAACCAGCATACCTTAGCGTGCCTACTGGTTCAACTAGTAGGGCTATACCGCCTGCAGCATACGGGCTCCCTCCAAACCAACTACCATTAGGAAGTCGCTTTTGATCTGCGAAACCATATGACAGAGATATCTGCAGCATTGTTCCAACATGCATTTTAGACCACCAAATGACGGATTATGAGGCAATAGACATCATGCCTAACGGAAAAACATTACAAATGTACGCTGGATAACTAATCCTCATCCGGAGATGGTCGTCGACTGTCAAAAGAATATTAACTACATGTTTCAATCCTGCCTTGTAAGTCAGGTCAAGCTCAACCAAGACGAATACCTGTCGGTCTGGGTAACCGGAAAGTGCTCCTAAATTCAGAAAGATATGGAATACGAAATCAAGAAACATAGGGTGTAGTATGTATTACACGCATTACGTGGTATATGATGATGTGAGTGGGAGTCAAGTGGCACAGTGGTTTCCATAGCGCATAAACCAAGCGCTCCTGAGCACAAAGTTGTAAAATAAGTTGCAAGTGTCATTACAACTTTCGTTCAAAATCACTATGCCACCAAGTCTTACCTCATATGAACTGAAGCAACTGATTTGCGGTTTGGCTCTGCAGCAATTATGACTAAAGTGGAACTCTTCGGGGTGAATACAAACGGCTTTCACTCGAACAGGCTGCAGTTGGTTTGATTAGTAGGGGAAACTGCAACGAAAGAGCGGTTATTTGTACCCGAGGCCGGCCGTCATGGAAACAGATAGGTAAATGGAACATACGCAGTCGTCTACGATTAGCCAGCCAACCAAAGAAGGCTGTGCTCAAAAGCTGGGAGCTACGCTGGTTGCAGCACTTGAGTAGTCTTGCGAAGTTTGTAGTCAATAGCATCTAGGTGATGTTGCCAAAACCTCAAGTAGTGTAGTGTCCAAGTTCCGGAACTACAGCAAAAGCATCTTGCTGGTTTAGTGCGTTTGATGGTTCGCACTTTAATGGTTATGGGAGATAAGAGAAAACGGGATTCTAATAGCGAACACAAGTAAGAGATGTGGCCAATTGTGTGCAGCCGATGACTTCCCTATCGTCTGACTGAGACCTGTCAGTCAGGAGAGGGAGTTGAAGGTAAATTACAGGGAGCAATGTGCTATCGTTTGCCCGCTCCGTTGTGTGCAGAGTAAAAGGTGGCTCAACCGTCACTACGGGACGACCGAGGCGGCACGGAGGTACACTCGTGTAAGTACTGCAAGGTTATTTGCGGGCTGATAGACTGGCACGGTACACAAATCTAGAAATTGAGATAATTGTGGCCATAAACCAAAAACTTTTGTTGAAAAGCCAAAATGCCAGGAAGTGACGGTCAGCTAACGACTACAACAATATTTCACCATCAGGAACCGAGATGCCAAACTTATCCTCTTTCAAAATGGAGACTGAAGTCGTGTTTATCAGATCTCTATCCACTGGATGCTACATTCGTATCCTTCAGCCCAGTTCAGTTGGTTCCTGGAGTACGATAGCCGTCACACGATGGTAAAGTCTAATCCATTCGAAATGGGTGGAGATCTACGGAATCAAACCGTGTCAAACATATCAAAAGAACTGGTTATGCATTCCAGATTACCCTCAATCACAAATCTAGAAGTCCACCAAAACACCCTTTCCAAACGTAGTTGTCCCACCCTCTGCGGGGGCCACCAGCACAGGCATAAGTGTCTTCTGCATTAGCTTCCTGATTGACCAGATATATTTTGAACCGAGTTCACTTAAGTGACATGATGAGAGTGCTGCATACGCACCCAATGAGCAAATGGAGCATTCCAACAGTCACGGCTTCGAGTTTTCAGATGTTAGCTATGTGGGCAGCTCAAACCAGTTACATTTGGACCCATTGGATTTGTGAAGTGGACATAAAGGGACCGGGACTGAGCAACTAAAGGGAATGAAAGTACTAAGGCAGAAGCGAAAATCACATGATATGGAAGCCCTCAACTCTTAGAGGATGTCCTGGGGTGTTCTACCTGGAACGAACTAGTTAACGCGTAGGTTCCGGTTTCGGAGAACAACTCAACACCTTCCGCATAGATTTTGACGTCCCGTTAATAATGCGTTTTCTACATTAACATGTGTAAAACACATCGGCCTGGGACGATGCTGGTTCAAAACAAGTAATTCTTGCCAACTTCACTGAACAATAAATGAGAATATCAAGAGAAGTGATTAAAAGGAGATAAATTGGCGATAGACAAGGAAAATATGGAGAGACACTGGTTCTCAGAGAAATCGGCAGGTAAACATTAGATAAAAAGCGCAGCATATTGATAGGGAATGAGATAAGAGAAAATCAGACTGCCGAGTTACTGGAATTATTGTCGTCTCATAAATCACGACTATACGGCTGAGATCAAGTGGAATTCTCGTCTGTCTCTGGAGACAAGCTTTTGGATGCATTTGTCACGTGAGTCAAAATGCGTTCCCAGATGCGTTTACAACGTTCTGCACGCCGTAGTTGAAGACAAGCAAATGTATGGAACAAGGATTTCAAAGAGTCCCGATAGAGAGATTCGAATTGGAGTACCTCGAGTAGTACTTCTTTCCCAGGAGAGGTAGAGACAGGCTGCGCTGCAAGGGGCTAGAAATGAGTAATGCCAACGTAACTGCAGTCGAACAAATCCATCGTACTTGACAGTTAAAGGACAAGGCAAACTATTTTTGAGAACTCAGGCTAAATTTGAATAAAGACCAATGCAAACATACTCTAGGGGGACTTTCACTCTAAAGTTAGCCAGTCGACAAAATAAAGAACTGGAAGCCGGATGAGTAATGCAGGAGGGATAAAACCTCAAGCTTACATACTTGGTATGTTTAGCCCTATTTGCTTACCACCTATGACCCAACTCCAACCTGCGGCTTCAGTACCTTGTTTGCATATCATGGCGATCCCAGACCAACAGAGTTTCGACGAGAATGTACGTCGCTTTGGAGTTGTCATAATATCTAAGCCTGATGATGAGAGGTCAGATCAACTTCCACGCTGCTTTGCGGACTCCATCTGGACGTACAAATGCTAGAGATGCACACACAAACGAAAATGAAGGGGTGCTCAGAATGTTCTTACAGAAGTAAACGGCCTCTAAATCACAAAAACCAACTACAAGTAGGAAACTGAGAACTAGATCATTTGTGAACCAGACCAGTCTTCCTTGGCCCCGCTCTAGCCTTGACAACTTCCTGCACCACTGGATTCATTCGATCGTCAATTAACACACTGGTCAACCGCACCGGTCATATTTACAAACAGAAAAATCGTTTACAACCGACAGCACATGACATTTTAAATACTCCATACATCAGATCGCACCTACATTGAACGAAGTGAAACAAGACGGCGGCAGTCATTGAACGTCTCTAGAAGGGTGAGAAACTACAAATCTTTACACGTATCCAGTACACTCTTACAGAACAGAAGTGCACCAATCCCAGGTTTCATCAGCCGGCAGAACGGGAGTGGTCAATTTCAGCTGATATTACAAAATACAAGGGGAGCACAAATTAAAAGTGTCGGAGACGGTCCAACGGATCATTTATCCGGTGTTTTGAACACCAACAATGGCCTTTAAAATGACCAAGAACTATTCCTCACACTTCACATAATAAACTGCACTACTGAATATAGGGATAAATACCACTAGACTGCAACAAAACGATTACTTCCGTGACATGAATTTCCTATGGAGGAGTGGTCTAGAATCTGTTTCCACGATGACAGAACTAACAGAGAAATTCCAAAGGATTCAAATTTATGATAGTCACAGTCGCGGGTTGCTCTGCACTCTACGTCCTTATTTGTGAACAGCATTTAATCCAGCCCGCTAGATGTTTGACACCGGAAATTCGCTTAACATTTTCTACCTCGGCTAATCGACTACGAAGGTTAATGGATGCGGAGTTTCTGCAACGCTCACGTTCTACTTTGGAGGACGACAGTAAAACACCAGCGTTATTCGTTAGTTTTGCTGCGAAGGCTGATGAAAACGGTGAAAGGCTCATAGGATCGCGAAACATTTCTGGCAAGATGATATATGAAACATCCAGTGTGCATGCAGTCGTACGAAAGGAATCAACTCTGTAAGTGCATACGCTTTTTCGTTCTGGAGTATGACCTCACATATCCACGCTCTCAGAGTGGAATATGAGATCGTTTGAAACTAGGTCATACAGCCTAAAAGGTGCGAAGGAGTGAGCACGAATCGACCCATTTATCACAAAAGTAGGGCGGTGGAACGATACAAACCAATAATCGGTGCACCAACCGTGGACATGGGATGTTTGTCCCAATAAACACGGGGAACACATTTAAAATTGTACTCAGAGTGACCATGAGTAACAATGACTTACCGTATCTTCTGCAGCGGAGCCACGCGTGTGTGTGGAATCTGACTGATCCTGCATGGCACGGTAAGCCTGGCGAACTTCTGTGAGGCTGGTCCCGTAATTCTCCAAGATGCTGAATTGTTCCATGAGATCTGCAGCTTCTTCCAACACAGAATCCATTATAAATGAATAACTGTCACACTCGTGTCCTGCAACCTGGGTTCGAAACAGAGTACACGCGGACAGCAGTGCCGTGAGGTTGAGCCTTAAAGATGCATTATGAGAGCCTACCGAGAAAGACAAGTTTGGAAGACCGCTAATTAGATATTAACTAAATTTTCGCAATTTGATTTACGCGCCAAGAGCTCACCTGTAATGCATCCGCAACGGCTGTTGCTTTATTCTCGTAACAACTCCACTGACAAAGGGCCTCGGCGTAGTCTTTGTGCAAACGGTGAGCACGTCCGGAATATTTAGCCAGCTTTTCCTGACAAGTCCGAATGTGACGAAATGCAGTCTTCATGGCAGACGTCCTGCTGACTAATAGACTCGAACTGATATCGGAAGACGGAATGGTCCGATTGGAAGAATCTGCGGCCAGGTCTGAGGTGCATTCGACATGAGATAAGACGGGACTATTCGACAACGTCGGAGATGATGGGAGCGAGGTGGGTGAACGAGGATTATATGGGATACACTGAAAGGACCAAAAACACGCCTTTTTAGTTGTAAGGAAGAGTTGTCGCTGGACAATTAAAGCAGTTAGCCCCTAGTTCTCCTGTCAGCTAGGCCATGCATGAACTCGTCGAGAGATGAGTTACGAATAGTGACCGGTGAGCACGCCTATGAATAAGGCAACTCAAGCTTCAATTCAACTGTGAAATCTACCTAAGTTGCCACTGGAACTTCCAAAACAGATAAACAGCACTGTGTTGAAGAACAGTATTATGAGAGTCGTTTGGTAACACAATTCTCCCTAAACTTATGAAGATTGAGAGAGATGGCTTATATGAGATGTCTGACAACTTCACCAAGATATGGACGTTAAAAGCATTGCACGTAGGTATAATTCCCGCAGCAACTCACAAAATTGCCCGGGAAATGATTGTTCGATGGCGTCGAAAACATGGGTGGAAGATACATAAAAACAGCTCCAATGAATCTTGGTTTACGGAGTGAAGCCCCAAAATACTCATCTTTCCGAACAGCGAAAGCATAAAACAGACAGGACTCTAATAAGTCAGATTACTGAACACTTCTCTAAGGTTAGGGAACAAACCATCACCATAATAACGACAGTACACAACCCTAAGTTAAATAGGAATTTCTCAGGAATCAAATGATAGGAACGCATTGAGTTGGTGAAATAAGTCATTATCATCAGTATACACTAAATTGTTGTCGATGACGACGACATTCAATGGGGATTTCCGGACCGGGAGGATAATTCAGTTTGTCAACTGGCATGCATAGTTCACCATTATTTAGTCAAATCCAGTCAACTCATGTGATCTTTTGATCATTTGAACCTTCCCAGTAGCAGCTGTTAGTGAATGGCGAAGAGAGCAGAGGCATGTGTGCAACCAAATAAGGATAAAGAATGGACTGTCTAGATGGAACACACTACCCACAAGGTTGCCGAAAACGCTTTGACAACCCATGACCAGTTCAAACCAAACAAGTCTGCGGATGAATGCACATCGTGACTAGCAATGCAACTGACTTGTTTCCGCCATGAATCCTGGCTGCCACCTATGATCCTCAGGTACAATAAAATGGACCATCGATCTGTTGGAAAATGCCGGGAACCGATTAAGAAGTTGTCATTTCAGAAGCAGCTGGAAAATAATCAGTAGATTTGTTGCCGGACAACTTTTCGCTTTTGACACAAAAGTTTCGTTAGACTAAGTGATTCACTCACAAGGTTGGTCGAATTCAATGGCGAATGAATTATAACCTCTTTCTCCTAGGAGGATAAATCAGTGTTAGATCGGTAAGAAAGTTTGTTAAGACGGGCACTACGGTTCACACCGAAGTGGGCAATGTCCAAGATAGTAGAGATTGTCAAGCATCCAAGTATGAATGGAGGACAGGCGCGCGGATGGGGAACGGTCACAGACTAACCAAGTCGGGGCGTGGCGGTGTGGTTCAGTCAAGTGGAACAATTAGCAGATATGGTAGAAAACCCAACCCCACCAAAAGTCACATACACCTTTACCAAACCGCTGTAGTATTAGCTCGCCCACACAGATAAACAAAAACTAAGTGAGACAAAGAATCTCCAAATGTAAACCGGAAGAACTAGGCTCGGCCGAAATTCACCCGATGAGTGGAACTTCTATCTGAGAAGTCGTTGCTCGAGGAGCCAGTCAACACGTGTGACCGCGTGATGTGGATCCCGTGATTGAAGGATGAGCGGCGCTATATCCTGTCTAAGTGCGAGTTAATCACACTGCTGAAATTCATGTAATTTGCTCTCTAGCTCATCGGTCCTGCTGCCCGGCACTACCAACGGAGTCGTTCGTCTGATTTCAAGAAAAAAAAACAGGAGCAATGCAAGATTTGCATACATGCCACACAACAAGGTACATATTGTGCAGCGATATGCAGGAAGTTTGGATTTAGTTTAATGCGTGTCCGAGTACGTTACAAGGAGGCTTGGGGAATTCTGTTGCTAGGAAGGACGTTCCGGCAATACTGTCACAAGTATGTACTACGTTTGTGGTTTTATGAAAGTACTAGTAAAAAGATAATCATTCAGCTGTAACACCCTTTCGGTGCCTAGCTGCCATGCTACCTAGGGGATGCACGAGGGCTGGGATACTGCCAGGTTGGCCAAGCCTAGACAGTGCAAGTCGACCAAACGGGCGGCCAGTAACTCTGTGGATAATCACCAGCATAAAGAAATTACAGAACATACACAAGCAAATGCTACTTGGCCTCGCTCAATTACATACATGGACAAAAGTACCATTTGCTAATACCAAGTCATAAGATGCATACGTTCGAACCAGACGTTAGTCTTTTCCTGACTTGAGGGTCAATCTAACTCAAATGTTTGTAAGGGGTTAAAGGCAGAGAGCCTCAGCCATCACCTACTAGTCGTCTTCAGCAGCACATATTCCGAGTTCAATTTACGGTGGAAAGAAATCGTATTACCAAATGTCACGTTTTGACTTTTTGCCTGTAACAGCCGGACTACCCACTCCAGTAGTTTTATACCGTTAAAACAGAGGTTCAATTTCCTCAGGCGCCTTGCTACTGGAACTCACAGGATTTCCTCAATTGAAGCACTAAAAATGAGATATATAACATTTGGTTTCTTCTGGAGGAGAATGGATGCCCATATCAGCTTATTAATGGAAATCCAAAAGAGGTCTCCTCGGTCATTAGGTCAGACAGGCTATTCCTTCGTTTGCCGTTAAAATGAGATTCAGCAACGAGGTTGCTGACCAAGTGTCTAAATAATGTCGTCAAAATCTTTGAACGTTGCTAGATTACCCCGTTGTTCTAAGGTTAATCGGCTGTTGCAATAAACAATCACAAGCTGTCACTGTAGGTCTCACCTTATGGTATTTGGAATTTAGTGCACACTTGTCAAAGGACACTGGAGCTTTAAGACACCATCAGTAAACAACACCTACACCTGTGTTGAGGTTCGGGATCCACAAGAAATGCGAGTGCTGATCTCCTAGTGGACAAAGACCATAAGATAGAGGTAGGGCTTTTAACGCTTTTCTCAGGAGCTAAATCAATCCTTCTGAAGTCGCACGCACATGTGTCCTGGAAACAGTCAGTGCCATTGTGCGATGGTTGCAACCGTTCGTAGATGTGGTAGGATGTGACAAATCACTTGCACACGGAACAGTCCACCAACTCCGTACCAACGTGATTGCCCTTTATGTGTATGAAATTTACCTGACACACCTAACCAATGATGTCGCGAATGGTCGGCTGGCGTAGGAGTAAAACGTTATGCAAATTAAACTGACCAAGAAATGTGCGCAACCTCAGGCCCAACTCACTTTTCCAGGATTATTGTGTTAACTTTGAACTACCCTGTGACAAAATCTTGAAACTTACTCATGATTTGTCATGAGCCCATTATCTTGATTGCCATACAATCATTTATAGCCCGCAGTACCGAGTTTAATTTGATAATCTAAATGACGTACAATAGTTGGCGATTCCCTCGCGGAAATTTGCCGTTCTGGGCCGTAACCGTAGCCATCGTAGTGTTAAGTCAACTCTGGGACTTAACTGACTGTTTGGTCACTCATGTGAAAGTTTTGTAGGTTTTTTGCACGATTCATGTGACAATTTTGACTGACGAAGGGTCCCCATTCGAACTCAGGGTCAATGAAGATGATTGACACTTGAAGACTTATTGCACAAAGGAGCGTGAAAGAATACGAAATCTGCGAAATACTGCACTTTAAAACATTGCCACCGAAACAATAGGGATCACAACATACACAGAAATTCCCCCAAAGAGTAATGTACCGTGAGATGACTTGTCCAGTCCACATCACAACTCATGAAGTTTCTCAACAGTGGATCACAGGATAGGCGGCTGTGAAGTAGGCAATGCCTGAGGAAAGACTGAAGAGCATAACATCTGTAGTCGATCAGTCCAAAATCCACGCGTCCAGGAGAAAACAATTGCTCAACCATTGGTAAAGAACCGCATGGAGCTGGGGGTGTTGTTACATTGGGCGAAAAGCGCTGCAAAACGGTGCTTATGATATCGGATTTCCCAGGAAGTGGAGGAACAATGGAGAGGGGATATGCGGTTCTGAGCGCTTTGCGAAGGGTGAGGAAATCCGAGAAGCGGCGGTTAACAGACCACACAGCGACCGGCTTTCCTCCAAGCTCTTGAGCAGGAGTCTGTTGAATGGACAGGATGGAATAGAAGTCGACATGAAATGGAACAGCTCAATCATTGTACTTGAAACGAGCCGTCACCGGAACGGGCCTTCGGATAAAACCAAGAGGAATTGCGGATTAATGGGGGGAATGAAAGTGGGATCAATGGATTTATTTGTAATTTCGTGATGGCCCAGGAGATACTCTAGGTAGTTAGTGTACTTAAAGTAATTGCTTGAAAAGTAGTAACAAAACATCGGTTCAGAAAAAAAGGCGAGTGATTGTTTCATTAATGTTTTTTGGTAACGATGGCCTGTTGGTCGATTTCAATCTGTTTCCAGTTAGTGATACGATACTTCACCCTCCACTGAATTATTAAGATGGCATATGAGCCACCGTCATTACAATTGAAATCCAGTCTTGGAATAGACTAGCGAATGAATGCCACGGTGGAAAAATTTTCAGTCATCCACATCCACGCCAAAGTTGGTTAATGTCCTCGTTTAGCCAACCAATGTCCCGGAGCACTCAAAAGATCACTGAAAGTCAGTGTAAGCCACGCGCTGGAACTGACTGGAACAAAAAACTTGATGGAAATTAAGTAAAAGATTGTCTGATTTTGAATGGAATGTACCAGAATTGCGTGCCACCGAAGCCCAGGCCTTTAATTCTCCTAGTATCTGCGCGGTCTACCGCAAAAACTCAGCATTCTGTACCAAAACCTCAAGAACGTGAGATGAATGTCCTCAGTAATTTATCTCACGAACGAGAATGAAATCATAACCTTTACAGAGCAAGCAAGTCAGGCTATACAAATCCGAACTCGCAAGGTGGGTTTTGCTCTGCTAAAATCTTGAATCAATCACAAAGGAACTACGAACACTAGTTTGTTTAATAGAAACCGGTCCAATTCAGTTTGTCGGCTGCAAACCGCGAACGAATACGTTTCGACATCAGTAATACCTAGGAAGGGGAGAATGACGACTCTCAGACAACGGGCTTCGACTAGTAGTTGGATTCTTGATATTTTTGGCTTCCAAACGTCATCGGTTATCACACATTTCTGCATGCGCCTTGCAACCACAAAGCGCAAACTCATACTTCACAAAGTTCACTCGCTGAACATGCCGCAAGTTGTGCATAATTTTACAACTCCCACAGAGGTGTGTCTCATAAAGTCAGTCTCAGATGCCCGAATCACGCCTTCCATGTTGATCCACTTATGGCACCAGAAAGGTTTATCACCGGACTTCAAGGGCGGTGTGTACCGGGCCATAGTAAAAGCTTTGTTATATGGTCGCGAGACAGCCTCTACGGACAGGTATTTGACTACCGATGTCTCAGAGGTGCTTCTGGCATCGAGAGACGCCACCTCAGTTACTCGTCTACTGAGACCAGTACTTCTTCTTCAGAATGGCGCAGAATGTGATATGGTCCACGAGTGAGATGGCGGAAAGGTGTTAAGGGTTTAGAAGAGTTTTGGAGTTGATGGTAGGATGGGTTCTTCGTGACCCCAAGCGCTTGTCTGCAGACTAAGAGAAAAACGCGAGTCCAGTGCTCCCCACCCTTTTGTTTGGACTCACCAGAATAATTGCGCCAGATCAGATGAAGAGCCGTTCAAACGGGATTGACGTGAATGTGAATTCTACAAATTCCTCAACTACGTACAACTGAAGCTAGTCTATGTTAAGTAAAAATTAATCCAAAATCCCAAGTAAAAACACCCAAGACACGACGGAGGCATTTATGGTCTCCTGACCATGTTCCTCATACTACTGGAGACCTCAAGACAGTTGCACCATAGCAACGGCATAATCTTGAGTTTCATTGATAATCTGAACGGAGATTTACGCAACAGTGTTCCGGTTATGAAGGCTAGTGTATTTCTTGAAAACGCTACCCTCGATGTCCAACCAGTGGCTTCGCAACCCTCAGGGATGTCATAATCAACAATGAGATGCCTTGCTTAGTGACTCAATAATAAATGCTTCTCCATGAATAGTGGAGACAATTGTTCTTGAGGAGTTGGAGGCCATCATTCGATGGAAACCAACAGGACAGCCTTAGAGTGTTTCCGCACACTGTTCAGAAGATGTCCTTTTTATCGGAGCCTCCGATATGGCCTCGAGATTGGGACAAGTGGGGTGAGATGGCCCAGTGTTTAGAGCACGAATTTACTGAGCAGAATACCCGTGGTTCGAACCCGACCTCTGCCTCTCGATTTCCCGTCTAGGCTTGGGCAAACTGGCAGTATCCCAGTCCTCGTGCTTACTTTGGGTGGCATGGCAGCTAGGCACCGAAAGGGTGATACAGCTGAACGCTCTTTAAGGACAGATTTTATTTCCACGCCGAGACCCCCAGAATGATCAGGCAAAACGTACTTAGCGTCAAAGCAGGTATCTAGCTGTGGAGGGCAGGTGGGGACCTGCTGGTACCAGTGCTTCTTAAAGCCAAGGACATGCCCAAAATGAATAGCAAACAAAAAGAACATTTCAACAACACACCTGAACCTCGACAATGTAATAAACGCAACCATCTTGCGATCGTTCAAAATCTCGAATACGTATCTGCCAGGATGTGTCCATGATAGCAGACCAGTGGACATCAGCACCAATGTACGGTATGGAATGTTTACCTGAAAGGCCAGAAGTAAATACCAGTCATTAACGTCATCACTCACAACAAAATATCAGTGTTCAACACGGACGCATCCTTGCCCAAACGGGTAAATCTAAGCTTGCTGCCTATGGGTTATTTGAAGTCACTCTATTGTGGCAAGGAAACATGCTATACTGTTAAATTATCATCCAAAACAAATAAACTGGCTCCTAAGTTGAACCTAGGTTCAAATACGGTTACTATGAGCCACTTAGTACTGGGGAGTTCGTGTTTTTTTCATACGTGGATCGAATCCGTAAATCGGTCAGCATGAGCCCGTCAGTCTCCATTTATTTGCGAAGTGTGTTCGTGCACGACTCAACACCACTGCCACAGAAAAAACAATATGGGTAAGTGTGGCTCGTCAGGTGAATCGGACGAACATACACGAAGTGTAAGTTCTTGTTTACGAACAGACCACTTACAATCCAGGGAGAGGCACTGGAAGTTGTGGAACGTTTCACGTATCTTGGACGTTGCATCAGTTCTGATTGCTGTGACAGATTGCGTCAGCGCATGAATATACAAGGTTCGGCTTGTGTTTGCTAGGTTGAAATACCTATGGCGGTAAACCATATATGAATCTCAAGGGACATGTGCATCAGGCTATAGTGCGGGCTGTTTTATTATACGTCTGAGACATGGTCTGTTGGAGTAGCGGAACTGAGGCGTCTTCAGGTGCTCGACAATCGTTGTCTCAGAGCCACAACCTGTACGAATCGGTGTCAATGAATCTGTAAGAAGGCAATCATAAGGCGAGTTTTCGGTTGTGCAACGGGTACTTCCATTGGAGAATGTGTCCAACACCAGAAGCTGCATTGGTTGGGACATGTGTTGCATATGCCGAACCATCGGTTGTCAACAATAATGCTGGTTTCCATGTCCAATTCAGTGGTGGAAGCAGAGAGATGGCCAACCACTGAACTGGCAGAGGGGTGTGAAAGAGATTACAACGTTTAAATGTGGAGCTAGTGGTCTACTAAAATGGGAATCGCGTGGTTCACACTGCGATTGGTTGGAGACGCTGCGAGATATGACTGCTAATCGATGTCACTAAGGTTCTAGTTGTCAGTTTCTATCCAGATTGCCTGAATAAGTGTTTGGTACTGTCGGCACCTGGGAACCAGCACTAGGTCGCTTCCCCATTCACTTTTATTCTTTTCTTCACAATATAGCTTTCGTGGATGTAAGGCGGGGAAGCATCAGTGTTGAACACTGTCATGCTGTCGATTATGATGAAATGAGCAGATGGCTTTTCAGTTACTGATGGATATATCTGAGTCAACCCATGTATCCAAAAACGATCGGTAGTCAAGTCCTGAGACGCACCACAGCTGGCGGCGATGCAGCCAATTTGACTCCAAAGCTGCTCAGGAGCAGGGGGATGCCAAACAATGCGGCAAAAACCACTTGGTTTTGGCCAATTGTTCTTGAAGACACATGGCCACCAGTGTAAATGTGCAGCTAGGGTAACGAAAGACATTCACAATCATCACTATCAAACGAACCATAAACGCATGCTTCTCATGGACTGGGACGTCCCAACGGTGTATTGAAATCTGTTACAGCAGTCGAGCTGTTCATGGTGGTACCTGACTTTCGGTACGTCGGCACTATGATTCGTGGGCGTATAAGCGGACACGGAAAACAACGAACACAGCGTACTTGTGACAGTGCCAGTTATTGCGCAAGTACCACAGATAAACCGAAACAGCTTCTGTACATCTCCTGCGGCATCAGCCTCCACTTATCGGACGTCCTATTTTCAGCACGCCTTCCCATCTAATCACATTCGCCCTCCACTTAACGACAGACATCTCACAGCCCGGGTGGTGGGCAGATCGAGACGATTAAACCTCAAATCCACCGGATGGGTCCGGTCAAGACGGCTACGAACTGTTACAGACCAACCCCCGGGTTGTCAGAATACGGACCAATGGGAATCGAGCGTTTACTCTCGATAGGTTCTTGCTATCAGGATGAGTCAAGCTTGATCTCAAGGACGAATCTGTGGCGTCTTATGGTGCATATGCAGTAAACTTCCACTAAAGACTGTCTCGATCTGGCATATCTACTAGTATTTTATGATGCACAAAAATTATACAGATTCTCAAATTGAGGCTGAGAACTACAGTGGGATTCACAGTGGGATTCAGCAGTATTCGATATTCACCAGTATTTAATGACGGCTAAATGGGGCTGAAAAGCTTGGACCGGTACACTGAACTCATTTGAACGATTGCTTCAGGCCATCAGATACATGTCATAGCTTTCGATTCAATTCCATTTTGCGAATACTGAGCGCCGTCTGGGACTCGTTAGGGATACAGTTCAGTCTCAGTTGCGTTTCAGAACCGCTGATTAGTTTTTCGCGCACCGAAACACCCTACGGTGAGTTCTCGGTTGCGATCGTTGGTCCTTGATCGCATACTCAGAATTTCTCCGAAAACAGCTTGACCGAACGAGGCTTATGCATAAAGTTTCAGCGTTTTAACGGTATTGATTCGAAAACTTGAAACCTCCTTAGACTGGCAATTTTATCAAAATTTGTGGGCGCAGTCGGAGTCCACTTCGAACGTGGAGTTCATATTTTCAGCGGCTGAAAATGCACAGAATGATATCAATGTATGGACTGGAAAATTTTGTTGTGAATTTGGTCCTTTCACAGGTTTTCTCCTGTTTTTTTAGTCGGCTCTGAAAACGTACACGAACGATAACTATGCCGTCGTTGTTCATGCAAGAATACAATAGAGCAACTGTTTGCGTCTATTGTAGAAGAAAGTTTCCATTCGTCGCAGCAAGCATCCCCTTTGGCCAATCCGAAGAGTTCGTTGCAGCGAGTCAGTTTGGTGAGTTTTCTGACAATCAGCACAAGGTCTATCGGGCAACCGGCCAAGTACTGTTTTCATCGGTATAATGGTTCTCTAATAATGCAATGAAATGTGCTGGTGCGTTTATAACTGAGCAAGTGGACAACACAATAAAATGGTCAATACCTTGGAGTTTTGGCCCACAGCTAGCGGATTGAGACTGACTTGTGGACACATGGAGTATGGTTGGTTAGGAAATGGTGAAGGTTCGGTAAAGTACGATTTGCCCCGAGACCTACTGTTGCAGCCTCGGTACCAATGCATCAGAGATGCGTGAGTCAGGGTTGCAAGGTGGCTGGGTTTGGTGAAGAATCGGTGACAAAGTAAAATTATTATGACGCAGGGACATCCCTGGTTCCATCGTGGACGCAGCTCCGTCAACTGCTGCTATTAAAACAAGGCAATAAAACACCTGTAACTAGATTAGGGACTCAAAATGATAAAACGCGTCGGAAAAGCAAACTAGGGAGCATTAGAATAGAAGATAGAGTGCGACCCGGGACAGCAAGCCTAAATGAGCGGGCGGCTAGCTGGCAAGCATTTGGGGACATTACCGTTTATTGATGCGTTTCATGGCGTGAGGAAGGTTGTCATGTCAACATACAATTTTGGGAACACTGCAGTTACGCTTATCGAAGAATGGTTATGAGAGCTCCAGAGGGGAAGGTAACGATAAGCAGCAGCGCAATGGCAGGGGATATGGAAAGTTTTCGACAGTATATTCTTCACAGAAGGAAGCGCTAACCAGTGCCAGAATTAGGTTGATTCGGCAGTAATTGGAAGCTTGACGAATGCAAGAACAGAAGGTCGAAGTAAACCGTGAGGTCCAGGGTCGTGTTGCATGCTTGTACAAAGAAGCGACCTCGGCTTGGCACATTTGCGGCCTAAGAAACAAGGTGGATCATTTGGTAAAACAAAGTACCCAAGATTCGTCACACTGCATGAATTTTAAACTTCTTTCACCTCACTGGAGGAAGTAATTTACACCGCTAAAAATAGTGTTTGTGTTGTGGATAAGCGGTACAACTAGAGCGAGGTGAGGAAGGCCTTTGGCAAGAGGGCATGTAGTTGAAAAGGGAGTTGCCGGCCATGCAGACATTCGAATCATTGTCAGAATGCGCGGAGGGGATGACATGTTAGAGAAAGGTTTGGATAATCTTCAGAGGTGGTTGGCGACCAGGTACTAAAAATAAGAATGGGCGATCAAGGCGCTTTGGAAGATGGCATTGTCAGATGCGCGGAGGGGATGACATGTTAGAGAAAGGTTTGGATAATCTTCAGAGGTGGTTGGCGACCAGGTACTAAAAATAAGAATGGGCGATCAAGGCGCTTTGGAAGATGGATAATGATCAGTCAGGATTCATCTAGAGCTTAGAGGGCAAAGGCGAGACCAATGTATGTTACTTGAATGTGGGTTGATATATTTTTTCCTAACGGTCTCTCTTTTTGGTCATCATAGAAGACTTTATGAACCCATCAGAAGTGGCTGATTTAGTCTCAGATGCGTTCGGACGGTTCACACATGACTGTGAAGGTGAAGGAGATTTGCAATAAGTAGGTATAAACGACGGGTTGGCCGAAGCTTAACTCGTTAGCATAAAATAGTAAGCAGCTTGAAGCGTGTTAGATGTGTCCTAGTTCTGGGAGTGCTTTTAACCATAACGGGATGTTGAAGATCGCGAGAGGTGAAGAAACGCAGGCATGTGTGCCGATAGTCGGTGCACAAGAAAGGAGCCCTTAATTGATGACACCTAACTGAAAATGTTCCCAGGTTTTGATAAGGATGATAAAACTATAGTTTCTATCAAGCCACAAGGCTTAGTATCGGAAGTGAAAGTGAGGTGAAGTTGGGATCTAGTGGCATAATTGAGCAAATTTGTCGCTGAGTTCCCGCCCGCTCGCGAGATTGTTGGTACCACTACATAACTGGGTACACTTATGAAAAGACGCGATGTCCTCGAATCATAGGAGACAAATGCATGCCATCTGATCCTACGACTACATTGTATACTCCCCTGTTTAGTTTCAACTTTGATGCTTCCGGCAGTGGGCATGCTAAC